CCCAGGTACTTTTTATGTAATAGTTTAGTGAGGGGGCATCTTGAATAAATGGTGGTTGTTACTGAGATGGAAGTTCCACTTTAATAAGCAACGGAGTGATGCAAAACCTGATTTTAAGTGACTTGCAACAAAGGAAGTTATAGGGTTATTGTTGTAGCAGTCCTTGTAATACTTCCACCCCACAAGCCTCTGCTTTTGTTTCATCATTGTCACTTTTTGAAATGTTAAAGCCGTATTTTTGCAGAATTTCACCAATAATGAATTCTCTCTTTTCTTTGTATTCTGTATACATCAGGTGGATTTTGCCAACCAGGAAAGTCAGTTGGCTTTCTACGGCTCAATGGAATCATCGGGACAAGATATACGGGATATCTATGAAATCATATCAGAGAGAAGGTGCGTTGGTGCCGCTTTTATTTCTGTCTTTGTGTTTAGCACAACATAGTATTTCCGGGTCAGGGACACGTGCCGGCCATTTATACACCACAACGATTCTAATATTAAAAGTAGGGATGCACCGATACCGGTATTTTGGTACCGAGTACGGATAATTTTTTTTCAGTACTCGTCGATACCAATTACCGAGTACCGGAAGTCCCATTCAGGAAGCCAGGTAGCGTTTAATGACTCGCCACCCGGCTTCCTGATTAGCCGGGAAGCCGGGCAGCGTTTCCCCTCTCACCTCGGCATGTCCAGCCTGTCACCCCCGGGGCCTCTCCAGTCAGGAACGGTCTTCCTTCGTCTTGCTGGCCAATCATAGAAGTTGGGCTCCGTGTAAAGACGCGTCGCCCTGCCTTCTGATTGGCCTGGGATGCCAGCTCCATGCTCCCTGGTCATGAGATGACGAGGGAGCACGAAGCCGGCTTTCCGGCCAATCAGGATGCCGGGCGCTGCGTCATTACACGGCGCCCGGCTTCCTGATTAGCCGGGAAGCCGGGCAGTGTTTCCCCTCCCACCTCGGCATGTCCAGCCTGTCACCCCCGGGGCATCTCCAGTGAGAAACAGTCTTCCTCTGGTACCCAGCTAGAGCCGTCTTGCTGGCCAATCATGGAAGTCGGGCGCAGTGTAAAGACGCGTCGCCCTGCCTTCTGATTGGCCGGGATGCCGGCTCCATGCTCCCATGTCATGAGATGAGGAGGGAGCATGAAGCCGGCTTTCCGGCCAATCCGAATGCCTGCGCTGAGTCATTACACGGCGCCCGGCTTCCTGTTTGGCCGGAAAGTCGGCTCCATGCTCTCTCATCACAAGTGACAAGAGAGCATGGAGCCGCTTCCCGGCCAATCAGGAAACCGGGCAGCGTGCAATGACGCGCTGCCCGACTTCCTGATACAGGAAGTACTCGTGCTAGGCACTCGCCCAAATACTCTGGTATCGGCACCAATATTGATACTAGTATCGGTGCATCCCTAATTAAAAGCAAGTCATTTTATTGTCTTTAGAAAAGTCTTTACGAGGTCACTTTAATAATATGTGAATAACATCGAATCTTGAGCCATCCGAATACAAAGTATCTGCATTATAATACCTCAAGACGTTAAATATTTAATATCTCATCCCGTAAGTTCAGTCCTCGATGCGTTTCCCATATTAGCAGTCCGCTTTGTCAGGAGATGGTCGGATGAAGTCATTTCTCTAAGGGTGTCGTAATATTAAATGGTTATGTACAAAAATATTTAAATAGCATTTCCTATTTCAGCATTTTACCTTAGCTCTCAGGAATGCATATTGGGCTATTCTCCAGCGTTTGCTGTTCACTGTAGTCAGAGCCCGGCATTGTATAATGCAATCACCTGATCAGGAGGAGGTGCTGATAAGATTACACACTTTACAAGTACAGAAAATGTTTCTGCCCTGAATTAAATATATTTAGTTGAACCGTTCTCCTGTTGTATCTTACAGAAGTGACGATACTCGAAGAGGATCCTACCATGAGTTTACCTCCACCGAGAGGACATATTACGACAGCACCCGCACACCCGGCACATACACTGAGGAGACAAGGCGAGAATACCCGGCCCGGAGCAGAGAGTTCCTCCAAGAATGGGAGTCCTACCAAGGAGATTACTATGAACAGCGTTACTACGACGAATCAAGAGAATACAGAGACTACAGGGATCCATATGAACAGGATATACGGGAATATAGTTACCGACAGCGGGAAAGGGAGCGAGAGCGGGAGCGATTTGAGACGGACCGAGAGAGGGATCCTGAACGGAGGCAGACAGAGCGAAGCCAAAGCCCGGCAAGATCAAGAAGACCTCAAAGTCCGGCAGGATCCCCTTCGCAATCCGAGCGGATTACAAGCGACCCGGAGCGCAGGATCTATAGCCGGTCCTCCGATCGCAGCGGTAGCTGTAGTTCCGTTTCTCCTTCCAGATTTGATAAGCTGGACAAAGCCCGTGCCGAGCGCTACATCAAAAGCGAGAAACCCGACAAGGAGCATGCATTTGATTCCGAGAGACCCGATAAAGAGAAGCGCCCTCTGAGGAAAGAAAGGACTGACAAACCTGAAAAAGATAAAGCGGATAGAACCAAGCGAAAGTCCAAGAACCATTCAGCGAGCTCGCAGTCTTCAGAAACGGATCCAGATAATGAAAAGGAGCCAAGTCTGGAGAAGCAGAAAGGTAGCAGCAAGCTGCAGGCCAGAGAGAAGAACGACAAAGACCCTGCATCCAAAAACCGCTTGGATCTCATGCCTTGTGTGGTACTGACCCGTGTGAATGAGAAGGAAGCCAAGGTTTTTGATCCAGCCGTTTTAGAAAAAGCCCCCAAAACGAAGGCAGACAGCGAGTCCATGAAGTCTCCTCCGCTGGATCAGAAGGCCCAGGTGATACGTCTCGAGCAGTCCAAGTTTGAACAGATGAAAGCCGAGTCGAGAAGTAAAGTGCCAAAAGACAAACTGCTCTCCAGCCACGTGGAAGTTGTCGATAAAGAAAGCAAACAGAAACTAAAGAAGCACTTAAAGCCAGAAACGCCCACCGAAGGCGCATCTGCCGCAGACCTGGACAAGCTGGAAGCCCGAAAAAGGCGGTTCGCCGATGCAAATTTAAAGTGCGACCGGCAGAAACTCGACCGCCGAAACAACGCCGACGAGGACGACCTTCGGTTGAGCTCGAGGAAACAATTGGATCCCGCATCTTCCAGAGAATTCTCCGTGCCCCGGGAAGGGGATTTCGATAGGAAAGGCTCAAGGAAAGAACTTTTAAAAAGGGAAAGTAGAAAAAGCAAATCTGAAAGACTTTTTAGTATCAGTAGCCCTAAGGACAGCCAAGACCACAGCCTTTCAATGCGCTCCAACTCTGAGCTTCAGTTGCGTTTAGGAGAGCCAGTAGAAGAACAGTTTGACTCCCCCGATGCCTCCAGTAAAAATATGAACTTCTTGAAGAGCCTTCAGAGACATGTGCAAATGGGGGAAGATTTGGACAAAGATGCCTCGAAAGATGATCGAAAAGCCTACTCCAACCTCTTGAGAGAAAGCATGGGCTTGGAGAGGTCAGAGACCGAAGAAAAGCTTCCACTCGATATAGATTACACGCAGAGCTACCGGAAACAGATGGAACAAAACCGCAAACTGAAGCAGCAGATGGAGCTGGAGATCCTCAAGTCGGAAAAGTTTGGCAGTCCCAACAAAGAAACCGAGGAGTACGAAAGACGGAGCCTGGTGCACGAAGTCGGGAAGCCACCGCAGGACGTCACGGACGATTCTCCGCCTAGTAAAAAAAAAAAGGCTGACCACTCGGAGTTCGAAGTCACCAAGCCCGAAAGACATTACAGAAGTTCCCGACAGATAAGCGACGAATCGGAAAGAACTTCCTGTTCGCCGGGCATGCGCGCTTTTACGTTCAACGAGGAGGACTTTACCATCGGCTCACCAAGGCTAATGCCAATCAAAGAGTGTCCTCAAGTGGACGATAAGAACATGTATCCCAACGTGGGCCTCAAAGACGAACCTTACAAATTGATACCCAACGACTCCCTCAAGAAGGAGCACGTTGGCGATTTTGCCAAAACTAAATTTACCGCTGTGAGCCCCGAAGAGGAGTACGGCAGGTGGGATAGCCAAATGAAACCGGAGAGCAACAGAATGGACATTAGCTTTCCCAGCAACATTATAAAAAGAGAAGGCATCCGAAAACGCTCCAAGGACCTGGAACCTGGGGAGGTTCCCTCAGACTCCGATGAAGACAGTGATCAAAAATCTGTCTCGCCCAAATTGTCTTCAATGCTAGATGGGTCGCGATTTCCTTCTTCTTTTTTACTGCGGGACGGAGAGGACAAGCGAGAAAATCAGGAGAGGCTGTCTGGTTCTTTAGAAAGACACCGCTTCTTGGATAAGACCATCACCCCTGACACGAAAGCCTTGCTTGAAAGAGCCAAATCGCTTTCTTCATCGCGGGAAGAGAATTGGTCCTTTTTGGAATGGGACTCCAAGCTCGCCAGCTTCCGCAGCAATAAAGAGAGGGAGAAAGTCGATTCCGCACCGAGGCCCATACCATCCTGGTACATGAAAAAGAAAAAGATCAGGACCGATTCCGATGGCAAGTCGGACGATAAAAAAGATGACCACAAGGAGGAAGAGCAGGAAAAGCAAGAGCTGTTTGCCTCTCGGTTCCTTCACAGTTCCATCTTCGAACAGGACTCGAAGCGTTTGCAACACCTGGAGAGGAAAGACGAGGATGCCGACCTGAGCGTCCTACGTCCCTACGGGAGACCGCTCTCTTCAGACGGCATCGGCAGCGTCTCGGATCTCGTGCAGGAACCAGTCGTTCTCTTCCACAGTCGATTCATTGAGCTGACGAGGATGCAGCAGAAAGAGAAGGAAAAAGAGCAAAGGCCGAAAGAGCAAGAAAAGCCTGAAGAAAAGGAAATGCAGCCAAAGACACCCGAGGCTGTTCCTGAGATCAAAGAGAGGGAGATGAAGTCACCCGTGTCTATTGTGCCAATGCCAGCACCACTTCCCCAGCCAGAACCTGTAGTCCTTCCTCCCGAAAAAATAGTTGCTGCTGAGAAAACGCCATCACCACCTACTATTCCAGCAGTGGAAGAGAAGCCAGCTGAGCCCTGTGAGCCAGTTGCTGAGGAAACTTGTTCTCCAAAAGTTGTTGCCCCAGTTACCCCTCCTATTGCTGTCCATCCACCAACCCCAGTGGAAACCGTTCAAGCTGTTGATGAGACACATGAGACTCCTGCTGTCCCTCCGGTTCCTGAGGAGCAACCGGCTGGGGAACATACTACATTCCTGGATGCGAAGCCACCGACACCTGGTGCTTCCTTTTCAGAAGTCAGTGCTGATCCCGTCACGGAGATCAAACCTGTGACACCCACAACTCCCCCTTCCAAGGCTGACGGCAAGGTCGAAGAAGTTGAGGCCTTTGAAGAAAGCGCCCCAGTCTTCACAGGTACAGACACGGATGTATGTGAAAAGAACGAAGCTGTTCCAGAGGAAGCGGAGCCATTGATTTCTGAAAATGATTTGGAAGTGGAGGCTCCTATCGCAGTAAAGAACAAGAAAACATCCAAAGGCAAGAGATCAAGTGCCGCAGATAAACCAGCAACAAGGAAAAGCGTCAGAATCGACCGGGAGAAACGCAATCGCTCAGCGTCCCCTCGTGTTGATCCCCCAAAGCATTCGGAAGCTAAAGTTGAACACGACAGGAGCTCAAGGAGTTCAGCCAAGTCCCCAAGCGCGGTTCCAGAACCTGAAGTTTCAGAGCTAAGTCTGCCCGTGTCTCGAACACGCAGAAACGTCAGATCCGTCTATGCCACCACGGGCGATAACGATGGACCTTCAGGTAAAGAATCTGGCGACGCTCCTCGTTCTACTCGGAAGAGACAAGAGAGAGATGTTCAGGAGACTCCAGCTGCTGTGCCCAGCACGCCAAGGAGAGGGCGGCCACCCAAAGTCCGCAAGAAAGCTGTTGGGGATGTGTCCCCTATTAAAGCCGAGGTCATTAAACAAGATCTAGAAGATGGTGAAAGCAAAGAGGTGGTGGTGGAGAATGCAAAACCAACGGAAGGATGGCGATCTCCTCGCTCTCAGAGGTCCTCGCAGAGCCATTCTCCAGTGTCTAGCAACCATCAGTGTAAAAAGGGTAAAGGGGACTCTGTACCACAGTCAGTGGAGTGCTCGGGAGAACCGAATGAAGAATGTCCTGAAACCGCCGGAGCTGCCACCGAAGAGGAGTGCAAGCCGAAACTGGCCAAAGAAGAAATCACCGAAGAGAAACCCGATTCAAAAGATGTAGAGATGGATAAAATCCCCGTAGAGAGCCCTACTACCGACGCGGCAGAGAAGAAAGTCTCTTTGGAAAAAGCCCCAAAGCCAAAATCTGGAAAACTTAAATATACAAATCCCCTTCCGCGCATGAAAAATGTAGAGATTCGCCTGAATGCCGATGAGGTGAAGGGTGCGCTCAGACCAAATGAAGACGGAGAGCCGGTGGTGGTGGTGGTATCGCCTGTCAAAATCAAAAGCCCCCCAAAGGAAGAGAACGTATCTCCGCCTTTTACAAAGCCGGAAGAAGCTTGTTTTCCAGAAACGCCGGAGAAAGATTCTGCAAAAGATCCCAAAATATCTCCTGAAGAGGCCCAGCTGGCGCGACAGATGGAACTCGAACAGGCTGTGGAAAACATCGAGAAAATCACCGAAACGTCCACCACTCCGTCTTATAAAGACCCCCAAGGAGGAGACGCGGCAGAAGCTCGGGCGGAAGAGGACGGTGATAAACCAGCGCACCAGGCCAACGAGACGGAACTGGCAGCGGCCATTGGCTCCATCATTTATGACATTTCCGCAGATGCCGAAAGCTTTCCTCCAGCCCCACCATATCCACCTGAAGGAGAAGCCGAGGCGACACCTGACCCTGCTGCTGCTGCCGCCGCGCCAGCCGCTCCTCTGCCGCCGGATGACTCTGAGACCAACCAGTCAGTCAATCTCCTGTTACAGGATAACCACACCCCTAAATCTGAAGTCGCCCCGCCTACTCCTGTTCCCTCATCTCAGACGGAACCTGTAGTAGACAAGAAACCAAAAGCGAGTGTTCGCGAGTCTCCGAGTAATGTCAGAGAACCGGAGCGTTTGCCGGAAACGGAGTCGATCCCGAAGAGGACTCGCGGTCGGGCAGCATCCAAGAAAAAACGAAGAGCTAGCAGAAAGAGCGAGACGGTGGACAGCAAATCTCCCAGAGCGGAGGAGAAGGTCTCGGAGGAAGGGCAGAAGGAGCAGCCCGGGGAAACCCCTGCGGTGCCCAGCCCCGAGAAGCCGAATCTGGACACGAGCCTGAACTCCTCCTCCGACGCAGTCTCCAAAGACGGCGAGGAAGAATTTAAAGAGGAAGACCGGCCCGAGTCTGCCAACGCTTGCGACTCATCCCAGCAGCTGATCATCGACGACGTCAGTCAGGGCAGTTTCAAACTTCGCTCCAGTACTGAAAATGCCCCAGTGACTCCTCCCAGCGTCACCACGCCTCCAGTCGTGCCGGCGACCCCAGCAAAGACTGCCCCGTCCGCCCCGGTCCCGCATTCGGCACCGGCCACCATACCTGACTGGATGGCAAGGCATGACGAAAACGCGACCATTTCCACCCCACCGCCTGCTTTACCCCCGGACACCAAGGCCTCCGATGTCGATACCAGTTCAAGCACCTTAAGGAAGATATTAATGGAGCCAAAATATGTGTCGTCGCCCATTAATACTCCCAGTGTCGTCACCGCTGCCATCTCCGAGCCTGTGTCCACGTCGCACGTGGAAGAACCCGCTCACCCTCCGGTCGAAGCAAGCAAGCCAGTTTCAGAAGAGAAATCGGCAGTCCCTCTTACCAACACGGTAGTCCCAGCACCAGCAGCCGAGGCCCCCGTTTTTCAGGAGAAGGCCGCCATCGTGACCCCCAAGGCTACCTCCGTCATCAGCAGAATGCCACACAGCTTCGATCACGATGATTTGCCCAGGATCACGTTGGCGAAACATTCCGCGCTGCACCAGCCGGCTCCGCCGTGCATCCCGTCTCAGAAGAGCAAGCAGAGGCAGAACACCAACGACAGCCGCGGGGGCTGCTTGAAGCAGACGATGACCGTTCTAGAAGATCGGCCCGCAGAAACCGGGCCCAGCCCCGGCCTGAGGGTGAACACCTCGCAGGGGGTGATGCTTCTCAGTTACTCGGGGCAGAAGACGGAGGGCCCTCAGCGGATAAGCGCAAAAATCAGCCAGATCCCTCCCGCCAGCGCCGTGGACATCGAGATCCAACAGTCCGTGTCCAAGACGCAGGTTAAACAGGAACCGCTTCAGCCGTCTCAGATCATGCCGAAAGGAGGGCAGGCCCCGGCGGGTTACCAGCCCTACAATGCGTCCCCTGTCATCTCTACCATCAAAGCGGAACGTTCTTGCATGGAGAAGGCCGAATCGAGTCACATTGCCGTTTCTAATGCTTCCTCGCAGCCCGCCGCGGTCAAAGTGCTGACCTCGAATTCTGCCCCGGTGCTCATGCACAGTCAGATGCTTTCGGGTCAGATTGTTTCTTCTGGGAAGAAAATCTCCGATATGAAGGCGGAATCCAAAGGCCATCAGTCTGCCAATATGAGCCCTCACCACTCGTCGCTGTCGGGAAAGATGCAGCCGGAAGCCAATCATGTGGGCTCCGCGTCCGGTACGCCGGCTGACCGGTCGCTAACGCATCTCAACATTAAACAAGAGCCTCATTCCCCCTGCACCACCGGACACTCCTCTCCCTTCTCCAGATCCTGTCACCCGGGTGTTACCGCTTCTCCTGCCTTAACTAGCAACCCATCTGTGATGCTGGGCCCTGGGCTACCGGTGCCACCTTACATGCCCAGCATGCACCCGGAACAGACGGTCATCATGCCTCCGCATAGTGTCACTCAGTCACTGAGCCACCTGCCGCAGGGGGATGTCCGAATCAACACCCCGCCGCTGCCAGCGATGCAGTACAGCATGCGACCAGAAGCGCACCACTCGCCTCGAGCAGCTATGGATGTGCGACCTCAACGATCCAACACCCCTCAGCCAGCACCTCTCCGAGAGATGGTAATGCCCGCGTTGCCTTCCCAACACAGTGCCGACGAGGACATTCACTACCACCATCCTGTAAGCCGGGGCCCGTCCCACGTTCAGTCCGATGTGATGGTGATGCAACCTGAATATCGCATGCCGGGGAGTGGAATGCGGCTCGACCCCTACAGCGTCCCCCAGGACGTCATAATGCCACGCGATGTCCGTATGATGATGCACTCTCATTTGTCCGCCGTGGGAGACCACCACCAGGAGACCAGGCAGTCCCGGACGCCCGAGGGCCCGGGGAAGACGCCTCCGGCCAGTAAAACGCCGCAGCCGGTAAAGGATTTGGCCAAACAGCCCGATGTGAAGTTGCCGCATTCGCAACACAATGACGCCAGAATGCTGAGTGGACTGAACTTGTCGCAGCCGGTGGTGGTTCCGCATGGCGTGCCGCTCATTCACCAATCGGGGAGCTCGTTCCATGACTATCGCCCGGTGTACACGGATATTCGCACTTATCACCCCGCTGCCCAACTCTCCCACCCGCAATACTCACAGCAGATCCATTATCTCCATGAAGCCCTGTGATGAGTTTGCATGGAAACCTTTTATTTCTGGGATCATATTCTGGGGAAGTGGTGACTTTAGATTCCGGCTCATCATCATCTTTTTCTTATTGTGTTGCTTTGATAGGTCGGCCCTGATGGTGAGCATTCGCATTCAAACCCCCCGGGAGGAGGACGCAGCAAAACGCCGCAAGTCAGCCAGGACCCCAAGGCAGCGCAGTCATCTGTTGGTGAGCAGGCTCACCACGCAGCGATCAGCAGACACCCCGGCCAAATGGAGTCTCACATCCAGCACCTCCAGAGGGCGTCTGTGGACACGTCACGGGAGACTTCCTACCCATCGCCTGTTACCATCAGCCTGAAACAGGACCTACCTTCCCCTCACCAGTCCCAGAAACAGACCCCCTTCATGTCCTCCTCTGCCGCTACCCTCTCCAGATCTGAAGTCCCCAAACAAGAGCCTCACCAGAGATCGGTGGACATGGTGCAGCTTCTAACGGTGAGTGTGGCTTTCATCAGGACGAGTCCTTTACTGACTATTACCCGTCAGATTATACCGCCTCTTATATTGTGTTCTGGACTTTCATAGCGGCTCTAAGCTAGTAAGTTATCACATATTCCGCAATACAGTGTGCGCCCCGAAACCGTTCTACATCTCCCCACCCCCATACGGATCTGCCATTTACTGGACCAGAGGCTAAGATCCTGGCATAGGGCTAGAGAGTAATCTGCATTATCCCCGTCTCCTCCCGTTCCCTTCCCTCCGCTCTCCTTCTCTTCCCTCTGCCCCGTTCCCTCCGCCCCCTCCTCGCGTTCC